ACTTGATGAAATAATCAAACCACTCAGATTTACCTGCATTTAAAAAAATAATAAAGCAATATGAAGGGTGAATTGAGGGGAGGGAAGGAGACAAGAATGGGAGGCCCATTAAGAGATCACTACAGCCAAGACTAGTTTGGCTCAGTGGATAGAGCATCGGACTGCGGACTGAAGGGTCCCAGGTTCGATTCCAGTCAAAGGCAGGTACCTTAGTTGCGGGCACATCCCCGGTGGGGGGTGTGCAGGAGGCAGTTGATTGATGTCTCTCTTTCATCGATGTTTCTAACTCTCTATCCCTCTCCCTTCCTCTCTGTAAAAAATCTCATATAAAAAATCCCATATATATATATATATATATATATATATATATATATATAGAGAGAGAGAGAGAGAGAGAGAAATCACTACAATAGTATCACCAAGAACTTAGTTGATAATTGAAATCATAAGCATAAACAAGATTTTCCAGCTAATCCTTACAAAGCAACAGAGCAGGTATCAGAGAATTAAATGTTGTAAATACCAACATTTATGGAGCAAATAGATAAAAAGGAACAAATTAAGAAAGTGAGAAGTAGTGAGGCAACAAAGGACTCCTGTAGACACAAAGAAAGCATCTTGATATGGACAGAATAGATGTTAAGTAGGATAAGTACAAATAGCCACTAGATTAAAAATTAGATCACTAACTTCTTTATCTGCAGCACTGTCAACAGACTAGTGGAATGAGGAGTCATATTTGGAGATAAATGGGAAGAGAGAAAGGAGAGGCAATTATTCTTGCAATAGATTTGGCAGTCTAAAAGAGCGGAGAGAAGAGATGATAATGAAAGGAGTATGAAGACAGAAACAGGGTAAGATTTTTTGGTTCTTCTTCTTTGTTTGTTTTAATTTTATTTATTGTTTGATTGTTTTTAATATGGGATAAAACTTGAGCATGTTTGCAATCTATGGTGAAAGAACCAATGAAGAAGGAAAGATCTAAAATACATGACTAAGAATTAAATTGATTAGGTAGGTCTCCAAGGTGATGGAAGTGAAAGAGCTGTTGACAGGTGATCTTTCCCTTAAATAGGTGAACAGGTCTACTTCTGAAACTGGGTGAGAAGGGAGAAAGTGATGAAGGTTACCTAAGCTATTATAGGTTAAGTTTAAAAATGGTGGGAGGGAAGTTAGAAGAGTCTACACTACATATCAATACTATGATTTTGCACCTGAGTAGGATGTTAATTATCCATTTGGAATGGATGTTCAAAATGGGATAAGAAAGCCTAGGAGTCACTAAGGTAAATGAAGCAAAAAGATACCTGGTAGAAATGAATCTTTTTGCCATAGACCTTGACCCTGGAATGAAATACTGGAGCCTCAAACTGAGTTGGGTTAGAATTAGGGTAAAACAGGAGGATTTAGTCAGATCTCATCTCAGTAGAGATCAGGCAAGGACTGGGGTAAAGTGTATTTTGTTCTGACTCAAAGTAATTGCCTCTAAAATGTAAAGTGGCCTTACAAGAACTGACGTGGTTGAGCTAGAATTACAGGGGGAAGGGCAGCAACATCCAGAATTAAGGCCTTGTCAAGCATCAAAAACATATTAAGTACAAGTGAAAGATAAAAACAACAAAATCTCTATTTCCAAGTAACTGTATTTTATGTTAAGAGGCATGGAGCCTGAAATGTGTCTCTATGTCCAGCACTATTTTCTCCATGCAAAGTGTTTGGAGCATAGCAAGGGGGCTCATACATGGCTTGAAACAGAAAAAAAAAACACAACATTTGACAGACCTTGCACTTGCCAAATTCCCTGCCTTGTCTTTTACCCCATCAATGTGACATGTATTCAAATATGCATAAATATATGCAGGCCCTGGGATGACCAGATATGGAGTCATATACAACTGTTCCATGGGTATGGAAGGAAGTAGAGGCGGGTGTGGCTTCTAACAGCATTTCGCCTCCAAATAACCACACAGTGAGGAAATACAGGTTCTTTTGTCTCAGTGTAGGTCTATCAGAATCAAATATCCGGGGTGCTCTGTACTTTTTAGTTTAGTATTACAATGAGTTCAGCAAAATTGATTCCACACTATTATCCTTCTTCTTTTATCATATAAAAAAATATCTGTACAAGTGAAAATATTGTAGCTTCATGACAGCCAGAGTGCACTGTTTTAGGCACAAGATGTAAAAATATAGAATTTTGAAACCTTGTATAAAAAGGTATGAATGTAAAACCTAATTGTTGGGTAAATGGCTTTATAAAAATTGTGTAACAAAAATAACACGAATGTATTAAAAGTAATGCCCATACTAGCCATAGCTGAATCAACAGTAAGGAATATTCACAGTTTTAGTAATATGAATGATGATTTTGGATTCAGAATATTTATCAATTTTGGGAAAAACACCTATTTTGCATCTTTAGAACCTAGCCTTTCAAATCTCCATTAACAACTCAGTGGCAAAGATAAAACATCTGCCAAAATACAGATGACAGCGTGAGCAAATGTCCTAATAGTAGGCATTTCCTTTAATGCTTTAACACACTGCCTCTAAATTGCTGAGGCAGTATCATAAATAAGGACTTTTACATAGTCAGTTACTTCCTCAAAATGGCAACTTGTGTTTTAAAGTAATATGTATTTTTAGGAGAAAACAAAACATTTTCTTTAAAGCAAGCCAAATTACTACAATACTTAAGACAATAAACATGTTTTTTTAATAATGTGTATCCTTGATTTTAAAAACTCTGAAAAATCATTCAACTACTGACAGTTCATATACTGTCATTATTTGAGTAAGGTTTTATTTACCAGCTTTTGAATTCCACTGAAAATGCTGATGTGCTTTTCATCAAAATATAATTTGACACATGGGGGATAGGGGAGGGAAGGAGCATAATAATTCATTCTGCATCTTGTAAACCAATACCGGAGGGCTACAGATTGCCTAATTAGATGGAAGGGGTATTTCAGAAAACTTATTTTATGACAAAGATCAACTGACACTGTCAATGGAATTTTATTACTAGTCATTTGAAAATGAATCTGAAAGCAAAATCAAAATCTGAGTAACAATGAACATAAAAGTCCTTTGACTTTCTTCATTCTAGATTCTAAATTCAATCTCTCAAATACCTTGGTTTACCACTCTTGTGTTCTAATGCTGCTAGCATCTCTTCATACATGCTCTTTAAAAACTAAATATTAAACACAAACAAAAATCCATTGGTTTATATTCAATACTTAACACAACTCAAATGCATAATGCTTCTATTCTGTTTTTCTTTTTTAGGTTATTAGCTTAAGTACACTAAAACACTATAAATTCTGAATTCTATGACTCTACAGGGACTTGAGCACATTAATATTACATATAAATGAGTGCTTATTATATATTATCTTAACTATTACTAACAGAATTCTTACCCCCAAAAGTAACATTATAGCAGTTCTTTCTAATATACTTGAAAATAGGACCCTTGTTTTTAAAAGAATGTATAATTTATAGTTTTTATTCTTCAGAATAGCTTCTGATGCATACAGTCTGAATAAGTGACATTTTATCATAAATTTATAATCTGGTTCAGCATGCATTCTGATCAGAAAATGGGTTTCTGAAAGCAGTATTATTTTGTTATTTTGATAGTAACAGCAATGAGCCATTAATGATAATGACAGGGAACACTTCTTCATCTAATATCAACCCTTCAGATAATAGACATAGTGATTATAAACAGCTCCAACATCCCAGGATTTTCGGAGAATGGGGAGAGTGGTAAACAGGGTCTTAAGAGCATCTTGAAGATAACTGAAGTCACAAGGCTTTATGAATGGCACAGGGAAGCTAGTAATCAGTTTAAATGTAATTAAGTTCACATTCTAGAATTAAATATAACAATTGCGTGTTTACAGATACTCAAACTCAATTTGAATCATAGAAAAAATTCACACACAAAAAAAGCTTTATACATGTGAATTGTGGCCTCTACAGCCACACACACCAAATTATATTCTTCCCTCGGTTTTTATAAAGCACACATTTAAAAAAAAAAAAAATAGTTTCCAAACGCTTGGGGCCAAAACGCCTTTAATGTGGAAAAACACCAAATTCCAGTTGGTTGCAAATATGTTTTGACGTGGGGTTATTGTCTTCTCATTTCAAGCGAAAGCTACTGCTGTGAAATGGTTCCCCACATACAGGAGGGAACTTGAATGTGCTCTTTGGACAGTATTAAAGTGGTTGGAGGGGCCGGGAGGTTCAGAGAGTTTCCAAGAAGCCTATTTCTAAGGTTTTATATATATATATATATATATATATATATATATATATATATATATATATATATATATTTTTTTTTTTTTTTTTTTGAGAGGTGGGGGGACAAAAAATTCTTCTGATTAAATGGTGTGTTGGAAATAAAACTTAACTGTATCAAGTATGCCCCCCCCCTTACCTCCTGGGTTCGTGTGGGAGGGCACACACGAAAAATAAACAAATAAATAAATAAATAACCATCTTCACCAAAAATGCGCACTTTCATCGCAAGACGCCCCGGCTCTCCGCTTCTTCCCCGCTCCATCCCCGGCGCACTGAGGCGCCCAGGCGGGAAGCGGGGTGCGAAAGAGGAAGAAGGACCCTGACAGCGGCCACCCACTCGCCTCGCATCGCGCCCTTTCCCTCCGGTTAATTTCCGCGCGATGCGCGCGGGGCGCAGCCCCCCTCGGTGTGCGCGTCCGGAGGCGGCGGGCGCGCGGGGGCGGGAGAGGAGCCCGCTGTCTCCCGGGAAGATGAAGAGGAGGGAGGGGAAGCGGGGAAGGAAGGGAAGGGAGCGCCCGGGTACCCGCGGGGCCTCCCACGTTCGCGCCCGGGAGCCTGGGGCCCCGCGCGTGCCGCTCCGGCCGCCCTCTCCTCTCCGGGGCGCAGCGAACACCCCGCGGGGCGCCGCGGAGGGAGGCGGGAGGCGCGATCCGCAGAGCAGAGCCAGGGTCGGGGCCACTCACCGCGGCTCGCTGAGCCCAGCAGCAGCAGCACCAACAGGGGCCACATCGCGCCCGCGGACGGGCCGCCTCGGCTGCTGCCGCCGCCGCCCGCGTCCCGAGCAGCCGCCGCGGTTACAGTCCGGACCCCGCGCCGCCGCCGCCGCCGCTGCTCGTCACCAACCGAGCCCACCGTCCGCGCCCGCCCCGCGCCCCGCGCCCGCAGCTCCAGCTGCTGCACACCCGCTCAGCCCGGGCCGCGCACGCGCACTCGGCCCCGCCCCGCCCCGCCGCGGAGCTGTGACGCGGGGGCCCCTGATTCGCGGACCAGTCAGCGTCCCCTGGGGCTCCGCCTGGACCCCGGGCCGCTCCCTGGAGGTGGCGGGGGCTGCGCTCAGAGGCCATCTCTCCCTGCGCCCCTCCATCCCCGCGCCAGGGTGCGGATACCCCTCACAGAGAGGCTGGGCATGTGTTCCCTCCCCTCTCTCCTTTCTTTCTGCTTCTCCGACTGCCCTGGGCCCAGGGATCCTGCCCCATCGGTCTTCTTCTCCATTCAAAATGTGGCTCCAAGACACAGCATAAAGAAGGTCCTTTTTAAAAATTTGAATTTGTTGGGGGTAACATAGGTTCGCCAAACCATGCAGCTTTCAAATGTACAACTCACTAAGAACCATCTACACACCGCATCCTGTGCCCATTGGTGCAAGCAATGCCTCTTTCTGTCCCCACTGGCCCCCACCCTTTGACCATCACCACTTACCTGCCACCCCTCCTGTAGCTCTGGCCATCACCACACAATGGTCTGTGTTATGGATATATGGCTTTTGACTAATCCCTGCACTTTCTTTCAATATCTCACTGAATTACACAGGCACAACATTCAAACTGAAGGAAAAGACATTGTAAAACTGCCAGTAACATTTATCCTAAATGATTAACTCTCTTGTCACACAGTCAGTCTCTGGTGGCTACTCTAATGGGTGCATAGCCCATCTGCTCCTTTAGTTGTGTTTCTCTTACCTGCTGAAGAAGAAAGCAATTTCCCACCACACCACCCCACTTCTCCAAATCCTCTACCCATGGCATCTCCTCCATCGCACTCCATCCTCATAGTAATGAAACCCAGGAAATAATAGTTCCACTCTCAGGGCATTATATACTATGTATCTTTTCATATATATATATTTGTGTGTGTGTGTGTGTGTGTGTGTGTGTGTGTGTGTTTTGCTATTGTTTTTTTTTTAATGTGTGAGTCTCTTTCCCACAGCATTATCAAATATTTATAATTGGAGTGTTTTTTAAGTTTTCCCTTTTCTAACACTTCAAACTCAATGGACAAACAGAAGGAGTTTGATGTGTTGATGTGACTGTAGGCAAATATTATTCCAGTGAAATTTGATAGTTTCATTTTTTTAATGATTAAAAAAAAAGGAAAAGTGATATCTCACTAACACAGTGGTTCATAAGTATGTTGGTCATGATGTGAATGGCCACTTAGACACCCTGAGGCTACCAAAGGGCCTTCTGGAATCTCCTCCAACTGCTGCATATATGGAAATGAATCACCCACCAGACTTAGAGCATTGGGGACACTGTGTACCACAGGGCAGCTGGTTGGCTAAATAAGGCTGCCAGCTGTCCCTGAGACCAAAGGACCCCTTAAAGCTGAGGAGTGACCAGGAGGGACTGTCCACAACCTTCACACCTAGAGTTGAAATGATGCTCTGTTCTATGCTGGGAGCTGCTAAGGCTATGTCCATAATGTAGTTTTGTGCAGAAAATGGAGTAATCTTACGCTAGCAGGTTGGCTCAGTGGTTAGACTACCGACCTAAGCACAGAAGGGTTGTGGGTTCAATTCCCAGTCAAGGGCACCTACCTGGGTTACAACTTTGTTGCCCAATCCTAGTTCAGCCCCATAAGGGAAGGTACTTCTCTCACATAAAAATTTCTATCTCTCTCCCTTTTCCTACCTCTTCCTCTCTTTCCCCCCTTTCCATTCTCTCTTAAAAAAAAAAAAATCAATGGAAAAATATCCTCTGGTGATGATTAACAAAAAAGAGAAAATGGAGTACTCTTAAATCAGGTGAATAAGAGGCCACCTGGGTAAGCACATCAGCTCTTGGGAATCAGCTGGGATGTGTTTTGATGCTGAGGCAAGAGGAGGCCTATTCCAGGAAACAGAATCCAAAGAAAGCTTCCTAGGTTTAATTAGCCTCTCTCTGAGATAACTTTCTCCAGTATCTAACTACCTTACATTTCTGTTTCCCTGTTAACATTTCCAAGCATTTTTATTTAGATTTTGAGCTCTTCTTATCTTTACATAAGGGGTTTCTTGGGTAGAAGATAAGAGAATAATGTATATTAGAATATTTTGAACAGAGGTAATTCACATTCAGTTTATTACTAAAATTAATCTTCATAACAGCCCTGGAGTGGGTATTATGATCTCCATTTTAGTGATGAGGAAACAAAGGGAAGGAGGAATAATGGGCAGTTTGCCCATGATTATATGTGATACTTGCCTTTCTGTCCCTCTTGTTTACGTCTGTCTTCCTGAGCTTGTGTTCCCATTTGTTCTTTTCCCCCTAAAACATCTAATTACCACTTCCATTGCATTTTGTTTATGCTGCTAATAAAATGCATTTATGTATTTTTTTGTACATACCTGTCTCCTATTCTACCATGTTAGCTAGGAGAAAATGAAATCTTTCCAGGGTATATTTGTATTTCCAGGGTCTGTCACAGTGCTTGGTCGAGACCTAAGAGATCTGTGTGTATTGAATCGGCAGGAAAATCCTCCGTGTGATGTGTAGTATTCAGAAATGCTTTAGCCCAGGTTTGAGTTTACATCTCTAGCCACGCACTACGGTTAACCTTGGACAAGTTACTTAACACTTCTGAGCCCTCCTCTCCTCATTTGTGAAGCTGCATGATAAAAATAATAGAAATTAATTCTTTAAATCACCTTGAGAATTTACTGTTATCACTTTTACAGCTACATATAGCAGTGCCTGGTGCACAGTAAGCACATAATCAATATTACTTCCTATTATTAGAGTCTCCTTATACTGAGGTGAGTCCCTGAGAAGGACAGGGAAAATATTACCTAAAGGAACACCAATTGCTGCTCTGAAACCCTGAAGTGGCACTGGGATTGGGCCACGTGTGTACAATTTTGATTCAAGCCAGAGGCACAAGTCTGTGCGCAGTGGAAAGCCCTTAGTCCACGTGTTCTAATATACACTTTATTGGTAATTGAATGCTGAGGTACCCACATCCTTGATACCTGGCTCAGAGCCCAGTGTCCTAGGGTGTTATTTAAACTCGACCCACTCATAAAAGCACAGTTTCCCCAGTCATCAAATAAAGCAGTGTAGCAGAGTGTGCTCAATAGGCCAGGACTGGCTTTAGATGGTTAGGCAACTGGAAGATATTGACATGTGCTTAGAGAGAGGAGTTGGCTGAAGGAAACAGAAGGAAGGCTCCAGTAGCAGGAAATGATCTTCCTGGCCTGTGCTTCCATTAGGGACAAACATTAGAATCAGAAACTGCCTCCGAGTAGGAGGAGGCAGACTGAGGACTCGGGTAGGGGATATTTTACTGGAGGGACGAGATTGCATTTCCCTGGGGAAGACCTTGAGCCCAGGCTTGATTTGCCCAAGTCAGGGACAAGCACAGCTCTTCCCACCCCTCCTGCTGCTATTGCTGGAGGCTGCTCAGGTAGGGAGCCCACACTCACCACAGCTGGAAAGCACTAGAGAGAGCCAGCTTCTAGGTTAGTTGTAAAAATGCAGCTCCTGTATTTTTTGGAGAGCACATAATCTTTGGGGCCCTGGGAAGGCCTCTCTGTACCTTAACTAACTGTCCCCTTTGGAGATACATAACATACATGTAGAGGGTGCTTATTATGTACCAGGACCTCATCATGCTGTAATATTTACTGATGTTGCTGCCAGAAGGAATTACTAAAAATGTAGTCTTAAAATGATACCCATTCATTATGCAACAGTTCTACAGGTCAGCGTGCAATGGTTTCTCTGCTTCTGGTCTCCCATAGCCAAAATCAAGGTGTTGGCTGTTCTGCATTCCTTCAGACGGCTCTAGGGGAGAATTCACCTTTAAGTTCACTTCAGTGTTTGTCAGTGTTTGTCAGAGTCTGTGGGACTGAGGTTCCCAATTGCCTTTTGACTGCAATCTGGGAGGGGGTCAGCATGGACAGGCTGGCTTTGGGTAACTGTGTAGCACCAATGATGCATGAAAGCCTTCTCCACTTGTCCTGCCTCCTCTTCTTCTGCCACATTTCGATGACTGACTCTTCTTCCTCTCCCTCTATTTTAAATACTCAAGTGATTAGATTGGGTGCCTCTGGGAATCCAGGATAATCTCCCAAGCTTAGGTCTATAACCTTAATCACATCCACGTCTCTTTTGCTATATAAAGTAACACATAGGAAAATCCACAGGGATTAAGCTTGGAAATTTTGGGAAGCATTAGTATGTCTACCATACTTAGGTTCTTTTTATATTTGTCTCCCTGGATTTTTAAATGACCCATAAGGAAAGCATTGTTATATCCACATCATTGTTATACCCAGTATGCATCTGAAGAAACTGAGATCCAGAGAGGTTCATATCTCAGGTAATAAATGGTGGAGATGAAGTGTGTCTTGCTTCTGAGCTCAAGCTCCTTCCTCTGCTTGAGTGAAGGAATGCCAGAGACAAAGCATTGTGTGGTGGTTGGTCCCTCTCCTTGAAGTTCCCTCTGTTGCCTCATTAGTGCCACTTCTCAACTCAGTGAGGTGGTCCCCACTGTGGCCACCAAGTTTCCAGCTCTCCTCCTAATAGTATAATATGTGTATCCACTGATTCTCAGCAGAAAACAGATGGCATGCCCAAATGAAGATGCTGAGAGGAGATTAATAAAGGAACTGTTTACTAGGGTGTGGGCAGAGTTAAAGGAAAGTGACAAGGAAAGGAGAAATGTTGTGAGCTAACAACAGCTGTTGTCCCCTAGTCTAGTTCTGGAGGTGCAAGGAGAGCAGTGGTTAGGAGAACTAACCCTGAGAATGGAGGATCTAAGGAGGGCTGTGTGGCAGGAGCTGGGGTTGTTAGGAACAGCCACTAGCAGCCTGGCAGAGAGGAACGTGGCCAAGGAAATACCATGACTCCACTCACCTCCCACCTTCTAAACTCCTGCTCTGGGCAAATCTCAACCAGAAGTTAGATGGAATGAAGTTTGTTCATGC